CAGTGTTTAGCTTTTGAATAGAATAGTGTTTTTGCCAAATTTAAATTGACAAGATAGTTTTACTTTTTTAAAAAGGTTGTTATTAAAAATCTTCTTTCATCTATTTCTTAAGGAAGAAGATACCATTGTGTTGGTTTTAAGCTGTGACTGTTGTTTGTTTGTTTGTTTGAACCAGGCATCCTCAAACTATGGCCCGCGGGCCACATGTGGCCCGCCAAGGACATTTATCCGGCCCGCCAGGTGTTTTTGCCCTGTTTGGTTTTTTACTTCAAAATAAGATATGTGCAGTGTGCATAGGAATCTGTTCATAGTTTTTTTTTTAAACTATAGTCCAGCCCTCCAACGGGTCTGAGAGACAGTGAACTGGCCCCCTGTTTAAAATGTTTGAGGACCCCTGGCTTGAACTGTCTCCTCACCCGCCCCCCATTTTCTTTTGAAATACAGAATGCCCAAACCAAACTCATGGCCATTGAGTCGCATCTGACTCATGGAGACCTCTCTGTAGGAGATTTCTGATGCTCTGTTCCCTTCACAGGAATAGCCTCATCTTTCTCCTGCAGATCGGCTGGTGGGTTTGAACCCCGATCTCATGGTTAGTTGCCCAATTTTAACTAGATCATAAATACATTACCAGTATCAGTGAAACCCACAAGCGGCTCTCCTTGGCTGTCACTGACAACATCTGGGCCACTCTGCAGGTGTCACTGCGCTCACTACAGGAATGCAAGTGTCCCTGACTTTTCAGAAGCTAACTTTCTGCCACGCTAACTTTCCTTTTACATTTATGAAAGACCCACATTGGTACTTGTTTGAGGTAACAGAAAGAAACCTGAAGAAAATGTTCACTTTTGTCTGGGGTTAGTGTTACAGCAAGCCATTCCCAAGGTTTAGGGCACTTATTCCCAAGGTTCCTTCCGGCTCAGGTGGACTTTGTTATCTTTAGTTCCAAGGTAACAGATGAGATTACCATTAGTTTCAGACCGATTGGTCTAATCTTCTTGTCCTGCATTTCTCCAACTTCCCCAAAGAAAAGGGGGGTTGGGGAGTTGGTTGGTTGGTTGGTAGGTATTTTTATTGGAGAATATACAGTATAAGTTATGGCTTACACCAAAACAAAAGTGAAAATTTACCTTATGTCTTTATTGGTTATGTAGATTTATAAGACTAAAAGACATTGGATATAACACATGTGAATAACTAATTGAGCAACTAATGAGGTAAGACAATACTTGTACTTTTTAGACTATTATAGATTTGTCCGGCATTGTCATCAAAAGCAGAAGAGAAACTGGCTTCAAAACACTCAAAATCACACTCACTGTCATGGAGCCGATTCCCACCCCTTCCACGGGGCTTCCACCGAGAACTTGATCTTTCAAGTCCTTTGACAAAATGGGGCTGTAGATTTCCAATGCTAGAAAAGATGACCAACCCCCAAAAGTTCATGGGAAAAGTCCATTATCTTAAATTTGCAGAAAATAGGTATCACTTGTTAAATGCAGAACAAGGACCAGAGAGTAGGTTTCTTGACTCCTCTCCTAATAGAGTGTGTCTGCACTGTACGACACCGAGTCACCAAGATGAACATTCCAATTTTCTAATACATTATGTTGGATATAAGTTATCAGTGATGTCAGTGGAATACGCATATCTGGACAAACTCAGGTCTACTTTTCAGTATTGTTTTTCTTTTGAAATAGATCATAAATTCTGACTATGGATAAAATTTCATGCTAGCATAAAAATTTTAGTGGAGTCAAATACTGGTCATCTTAAATGTATTTATTGAAAAACCTAGTCATTAGTCTATTGTAGGTTGCTCTGTGAAAGAAAACTTCAGTGAAGTGGGGATGAATTTAGGTGAACTAGAAAGTGAACGGTTGTTTTTAAGAGATTAATTTATACTTTGTTTTAATTCAGTATTTATGTATAATAATTGGTTAACTATAGCAGATCTTTGGATTTGTCCCAAATACTGTGGGGGAAATTTTTTAAATCTCAGTCAAAAGGATTATCCTGAATTTGGCAAGGAAACGCAAAGACTTATCTCCTGACCGTAGAGTACAATGTGCAAAGCAATGTTCCCAATGAAAAGGAGCCGGGCCTAGAAGTTCTCTGTTGGTGCAGGGCTGTAGGACATGCAACACAACTTAATTATCAGGAGCTAAAATGCAGAAAGGTGTCTGGAGGTGCTCTATCTGGTTTGGTAGTCAAATTTAGCAATATAAGATACGATAATAATCCAGAAGGGCATTATAGGGATGATAAATGCTTTTCAAACTGAAGTGTGGAGAAAAAGGTGTTTCCCATGGATGGTAAACATCTCTTTCATGGAACATGGCATTGAAAAAAACTTAAGCCACTTATATTTTTCCATAAAATACTCCCTGCCATTTTATGCCCCCCCAAATCCCAAAAATTTACACTAACTTTCTTTTGGATTTGGGTCCTATATATTCTCCGTTTGAGGTGGTTGCCTTTTTAAATCTTCTGAACAATTTTGATCTATAGGGCAGTGCTGTTCTATTTTTAAACTCTCTGATACGTTTTTTTAAAAAAATGTTTGTGCGTCAGCATAGCGTCTGTTTCCTTTTTCAAGGAATTCAAGAGTGATTGTTTATAAATCCTTGTTGAGGAGCTTATTGTTTCTGGTAGCTTTTTAAATGGCTGTATTAAAAGGAGAATTATCACATGAGCAGACATCCTGATTAACAGTGCTTCTCTATGATGGTGGAGGAGGGGCAGTTCTTCTCATAAAAACTATGTAATAAATATTATTTCATGAATCTTATTGACTTTGCCAAATAAAGTGCCAAGTGTCATTCACAATAGGGACATTAAGAACAAAAGATTGGATTGACCAACTCAAATCTAGTAGACTATATTCTCAACATTAATGTAGGTGCATTCTGAGTTCTAAAGAACTATGGAGTAAACTGTTAGGCACAGAACAATTTGAGTCCGAGGGAGAAAGAGACAGCTGGGGAGGCAGCAAAAAAGGACCACTGAAGCCCATGTTTGGAATAACCTGGCGCAGCCATGGTGTGGGGGGCAGAGGCGGTGGCTCCCACAGAGAGGGAAGCAGAGCTGCTCGTGGGAATTGTGAGGGGGTAGGTTCCAGAGTCACGTACAAGACTCACATCGCCTGAGATGATGAAAAAAGAACCGCAGAGAGAGAAAAAACATTCCCTCGTTCCCCCTGAATCCCAGGATTTAGAAAGAGGCTTCTAGAATCATCTCCACAAGCACACGATAAGCAGAGAGGTAGACGAGAACTTCACTGCTGACTGTTTTCATTTTCTTGGCGAATGTTGGTTCCTACTACGGTTTTCAACCAAACCTACCCAGGCTTCGGTGTTTTTTAAGATATTTGCCTTCCATATGTTTCTGATCTATAATTTTCTAATATGTACAGCCAAAGCAGTACAAAATTAGCTCGTACCACTGCCTAATAAATGTACGTGCTTCGCCATCTTAAAGAAATGGCACAGCCTGCCTTGTTGATGGGCAGTTTTTACTATCAAGCTATGCGAGCCCTTTGCATCATCAGTAAGGTAAAGGTCCGCAGGTTGGCGACATGGTCTGTGCCATAGCCACTGCCGTGGGGAAGTCACTGCAACAGAAATGAAAATCCACCCCGCCCACCGCCATCACGCCGATTCTGACTGCTGGTGTATGCGGTGGCTTCAAACTGTTTGTGGAAAAATGCAACTAAAAGATCGTGGAATTTCCCCGCCAACCTCTTAAGTCCCCGGTATCCTCTTGTGTATAAAATTTCAAATACAAATGTTGTGTCCTCTCTTGATATGTTTTTCATTTGTTAGCAAATTTCAATTGCTTTAGACTAAAAATAGAATCTAGGTAAAATTAATAGCTAGCCTGGGAATATATGCAGCCTTTAAGGTATCTTTGAAAGTACTTAAGTTATTGCCAAATTTTCAAGGTGTATTTTTAGCTTCTACTTTTTTTTTTGGCAAAACCATTCTCACTCACTTCCAATGAAACTAAAACCAACAAACGCTTGAGTCACGTCAGGGACCTCGCACAGCAGTGTTGATTGTGGGAGTGTTCCTTTCACTGCTGCTCCAGAAACCCGCCTCTGACTGCAGGGTACAGGAAGGCACAGCTGCTACTTCCTCAGATCTGGAAGAAGGCTCGTCCCGAAGTTCAGAAGCACAGCCGGTTAATTATCAGACTTTGAGATGCTTTTGACCCAGATTAGCAGTCAATGCATATATTGTGAGCCAATCATTTATATACATTTCTATAGTGCTTATTTAGCTCATGGATTAATTTTCCACATTTTGTTTTTTCAGCTGTGGAAATCTTAAGGGGATCTTCAACCCAGGGAGATTGCATAATATAGAAAGAGCACCAAATCAGGACTCACACAGTCTCGGTTCTGTGTCCAGCCCCGCCACTCTACTGAGTACCTAAGGATGAGTCTTGGTCTTCTTTGTTAGGCTCCATAGGAATACCGTCAGCCACATCCGACTCATCTCACCGAAATCATAGAGAATAAAGCCCGTGACGCTCCCTGAGATTGCGGTATCGCAGACCCCAGGGTTGCTGTGGTCTAGTTGACGGATGAGGCTTTAGGCGCATCATGGCTTTCCCGGCAGTATCACGGTGCAGAAATGGCCACACGTTTGGGTTCAAGAAGATGAAAAGGCTGTTTTATAATAGTGCACCTTAAAAATCATAAGTTTGCTTAAAACATGCTTTGATTCGGTTAGAACTTGCTTTTATTCTGCTTTGAAATTGCTCTCACAATTGTTTTAGCTGGACTTGAGTGACTTAGGTTTGAGAGGAAATGGGTGTTGATTTTAGACCTGAGAGCTGAAGTAAGGTTTTCTTAAAAGCCAGGGGAAGAGGCACCCTCCACTTGGCGCACAGCTCGGGGATAGGAGGGAGCACTATGTTAGAGGGGTTGGGCTCTCTCCCCCAACCTTGAGCTGTTGGCTTGCTTCTTGAACACATGCTGTTTTGAGCAGCCTCACCTTGCAAATAGATTTGCAGAACAGGAAGAAGATTCTTGAGAAGGGAGGATTATGATGAAACCGGTCTAAAGCTCTTTTTTAAAATCTTGTACAGGCTTCTGTTTTAAAATCTTTTCTTCTGGTTGAGACATTAGTCTTTAACATTTGAGGAACTCTGTAACTGAAGACAATAAAATACCAACAAAGAGGATTATTAAAGGATTAGCTATAGCACAATTACTTTGATCAGTAACTCACTCTAGCCCCAGAAAGCAGAAAGCTCGAGGACAAAGGGGTTGTTTGAAACCAATGTATTTCTATCATTTGAATTTTCCTTTACCTTGCAGGGTTTTTTCACTGAAATTCATGGTTGTCTGTCTGATATTTGAGTTGATTCATTTTTTTTAATGACCACATATATTAGTACATTGGAAATAGAGTTGTCGTATGATAAATCCATGAATTTTTTTGAAGGAAAATTTAAGAGAGCATAAATATTTCAATGAAGCCTAAATTTAGGGTCATTCTTAATCAGATAGAAGGTGCCTGAATAGAAATGTCCCAGACATATAAATTCCGGTTCTTGCCACATCCTCAGCTAATAAAACTAATTGTACCTTTAATAAAGGAGTGAGTACTCTGTGTAGCTTCATGAAAATAAGGCAGTCCCTACCCTCAATGAATGTATCATGAGACTGTGCCCCCAGCCAAAGACTCAGGTGAATGAATTCTCCCCTCTGACTTTTTCACTATTTCAAAACACGAAATGTGGCCCTCGATGGAATTTGAGAGACGGAAATCAATGGTTTGGGTTTTTTTCCCCCGATGGTGGAAAAAATGTCTTTCTCCTAATTATGCAGAAGGCAGCCCCCGTCTCTCCTGCAGAGGGCAGCAGCCTCTCCCCACTGTTCTGAAGGGCGCAGGCCAGGCCCGGCCAAGCGCTCCCAGCCCTGCAGCCTCCGGTTGACTTCACGGAGTGAAAAGTAGGGCCTTTCATGGATGAAGTTCAGACGCCTGCTTCTATGACTGCACTCTTGGTGTGACAACTTGAAACACAAGTCATTGAAAGTTGTAAACGGGCGCATGCTAACGTGTTTTCAAGATGTATAGATTTAATAGCTTATAGGTATTTGTAAACATCTTTCAGCAATTCTAATTAAGTCCTTTAGCAAATCATTTAAAAACAGTTTAACTTAATCTGCTCCCTATGTATGATCTGACTTGTCCTATGCTCTCTTAATGTGACTTAAAGAAAGTGAGATGACTGACTCTTGGTAAGCCAGTGTGGGAAGGTAATGGGTTCTGGCCCTGACCTTTCTCTTCATCAGAGGGAGAAGCCAGCTCAGCTGGTGATACTTTGAGATCTGGGCAGCAGGCGGGGGCCTACTTGCTTGCTGGCCCTCTACCTTTTAGTTCCCATTTTTGTAGCTGATGGTGAGCATATGACCAAGGCAGCTGGGCAGAGTGTGCCAAGGGCAAGATGGAAGTTGATATCGAATTTTAATCTTTTTTTGCCTAATTTAGGAAGAGATGATGAGCAGCGGAGTACAAAGCCCAAAGCATTTTGTGTGTCTCAAGACATTTTGGAATTTTTTTTAGAGGATTACTTTTGAAATGTAAATAATAGTTTTAATCATTCCGAATCAAAGGCTTTATATTTTTCCTTTTTCTTCTTAGATCCCAATTTTGTTCGGACATTTCTTACCACATACAGATCCTTTTGCAAACCTCAAGAACTACTGAGTCTTATCATAGAAAGGTCTGTCGATTTAAAATGCTTATGTTCTTTGTTTTTTAAAAGAAACTGAGCTAAGATCTTTGTTTCTTGGAATTGGCGTTTATGAATAACTTTTAATAAATTAAATCTCTCTTAGATGGCCATTGACTTTATAAGATTAACTTTTAAGATTATTTAAATATATAAATAGGTATTCTTTTATACATGGAAATTCAGTATGTACAATAGCAAATTTGTAGGACTGACCACGTTAAACACCTATATAGAAATGGTATTAATTGAGACTCTGGAGATTCAAATTTTGTTACTTTAGAATAGATGTTCTAAACAGATGTTTTCCCAGGTGCCAAGTGTGGAAGGAAATGGAGCTTTCAGGGATTAAATACTCTAATCAAGGAAAATATTTCTTCCACCCAAACGAATGGCAGGCTGTTTTTCAAACATTACCCTTAAAGATTCTGTTAGCTCATTTAGAGTAACATCCACCAGCTAACAATTAACACCTGCCCCATATTTATCGAGTAGGTTCCGACTCACTGCAACCCTTCCAGGGTTTCCGAAGCAGTGGATCTTTATGGGACAAGTAACTTCATCTTCCTCCCTGGGCGGAGCTGGTGGGCTCACACTGCTGAGCAGCCGGGGCTCCTGCTAGTAACGGAACACCGACTTTCGGTTTTCTATATATTTTAATTGCATCTCCAGTTAAGCCTGGTAATATTGGCAAAGTAAAGATCATTCACCTTGACATTTTAGTAGCCTCACTTATTTTCACTGATGTATACATCCCAACTAGTTTTTTTTTACAATGTTGTCTTGATAGTTCTGACCAGTTTTTTTTAAGTTTATTTATTTTTCATTTATTTGTACAATTTGATATGATCCGTATTTTCACTGGTTTGTTTTCTTTTCTATTAGGTTTGAAATTCCAGAGCCTGAGCCAACAGAAGCTGATCGCATAGCTTTAGAGAATGGAGATCTACCCCTTAGTGCAGAATTAAAAAGGTTTAGAAAAGAATATATACAGCCTGTCCAGCTGCGGTAAGCATTAATAAATAATTGCAGTAAACAAGTCTTTTGTGTCATGGCCCAAGGCAGGAAGAAGTAACCAATAGAATAAGTGAAGCAAATAAAAGCAGCACTTAGAATTCATGGCCTCCGTGCCCACGCTATAGAATTCACTGCAACCCTGTAAGGCAGAGGAGAGCCGCCCCCTAGGGTTTCTCAGGCTGACACTCAATAGAAGCAGACGGCCAACAGCTTCCCCTGACGGTGGCTCATGGGTATGATTGACCTTCAGGGTGGTAGCAAGCGCTCAACTACTGGGCTAAGCCATTGATAAGGCTAACTCATTTAGAATGTTACTGTAATTTCATTTATGCCTTCATTATAATAGAACGTGTATGTTTACCTTCCCATGTAATTCAGCTGTTCTTTTTTTCCCGTGTTAATACCACAGAGTATTAAATGTGTGCCGGCATTGGGTAGAGCACCACTTTTATGATTTTGAAAGAGATGCAGATCTTTTGCAACGAATGGAAGAATTTATTGGAACAGTAAGAGGTATGAGTTTTCTAAATGGTCCAGTTTTATATGTACTAAAATGCCAACATGGTGACTTAATTGATGCCATCACTGCTCAGTGTTGAGAGGTGTTTATAATCGTGTTCACATAGCCATTTGAAAATAGTTACGGATTTTCATGAAGAATTTTGACCCGCAAATTGCTATAATCACACTGTTAACCCTAAGGTATATTCATTTAGTGAATCAACTTACAGATTCGTTTAGAATTCCTGTCAATGGAACTTGGCACTCCTCGTATCTGAAAGCATGTGTACTAGAGGGCAGTTAGGAACTGCTGTACCATTATGGCCCCATCGACGGAGGTCGCTTGGACCACGATTAGGTGACTATAGGCAGCAGAGCAGAATAGAAAGGAGATCAAATGGAGAGAGAAACCAAGAGTTCTGTTCATATCCCTGCTGTGAACCAGCTCTGTGACTCCAGGCAAAATCACTTGGGTTCATTCCTTAGGTTTCAGATTTCTCATTAATAACAGTGAAGATACAGACTTGGCAATATACAACATTTCTCTGAGGGCTTTACGATTCTCTGTATCTAAGGATAGCTTTCCATTTTACAGGATACAGAAGTAGCACGCACCTTCATGAGCATCAAGAGCCCCAGGGAAACTCACACTAGTATGAAGAAATCAGTCTTCTGGCACATTTTGGTTTATTAAATACAGTATTAATCCTAAATCAATCCTGTTTTGTGTAAGATAGACCTTTTTTGAGGATAATATTTTTTCAATATTATTTCTGAGGTTCAGAACACTGAAGTGGGAAAAAATTACTACAAATATGGTACTTTCTAATTTTATTTTGAAAGGATCTGTAAGAATAACCATGACTGCCCACCATGTGGTGATGGACTGGGCGAGGCAACAGGGAAGTTGCAAAGGAAAGCTTTCACTTGTTTGCATGATCTTGTGGGCTTTTTATAGCAAAGATATATTCATTTATCACTTGTGAAATTTGAAATAATTTTTATAAAATAAAATATTGAGTAAAAAGCACTGAAATGTTATATAAAAATGTAATCTCTTTCAGGTAAAGCAATGAAAAAATGGGTTGAATCCATCACTAAGATAATCCAAAGGAAAAAAATTGCAAGAGACAATGGACCAGGCCATAATATTACATTTCAGAGTTCACCTCCCACGATTGAGTGGCATATAAGCAGACCTGGGCACACAGAGACTTTTGACCTGCTCACGTTACACCCAATAGAAATTGCTCGACAACTCACTTTACTTGAATCAGATCTGTACCGGTATGTAATTTTACATTCAAGGTGAAAACCATTGCAATTGGGTTCTTTTTTAAGTGAAAGCTTGGCTTCTTGCTTGCAGGGTTGTGTAAAGGAGTAAGTGCGACAGTACATGAAATGTTCAGCAGCAAGGCTGGGAGCACAGAAGGCAGTTCTGGTTTTCAATGCTGGTGGTTCCCCTTGCTTTGACTGTTTGTAGATTTGGTTCCCCGTCATCTCTCATTGGTGAAGCTGGGGACAGCTCTTGTCTGTGTGGCCTTGGGCAACTTTAATCTCCCAATGCAGCCTTGAACTCTACTTCATAGTTTCCTCAGGGCAAAATGGGTTTAATAACAGTACCTACTCATGGGTTCTTGCAAGGTTTCAAGTACACCCGCTCCTCACTATCAACGTGGTTAAGTTCCAAGGACCAGCTTGTTTTGCAAAGATCAGCATTAAGTGAAAATAGAGGATGACTACACAAAATGGAGGATGGCTGCCTTGTTACATTTTAGCCAGGTTACATTATCACATAACTTTTAAGTCACTGAGAATGATGGCCCAGCCAAGTTGACACATAACCTTAACCATGACAACCAACATTATTCTTGTATTATTCTAGCAAT